GAGCGCTTTGAGCGAGCCCGGTAGAGGCTGTTGGAGACACTCTATGGCACCAGGAAGGTAACGGGGGACCCTGGGAGCAGCCCCCTTGGCACCCAGCCCGGAAGCAGCCAAGACCACCTCTGCCGTTGAGGTGCCCTTGGAATCCTGAGTCCCAGATGCTGCGGACGGAACCCAGGGACCATCTTTTGGGATGGGTTTAGCTGCTGAGTGTCTGCCCCCTGGGGAGGGGGCAGAGCCAGACTAGGGGCAGGGATGGGAGCAGGGGAGGGGGCTGGAGCTCTCACGGACCCCCATCTTGCTCCCACAGTCCTGCACGCCCCGCTGGCAAACCTGCATCTCCAACACAGATGACACGCTGGGCTTCGCCCTGGGCTCCCTCTTCGTCAAAGCCACCTTTGACCGGGACAGCAAGGCCATCGTGAGGACACTTCTGCCCCCGTCCCCTCCCCATCACCATCCATGGGAACCCGCCCTTACCCTCCCCAAACCCCAGGGCTGGAAGGCAGGGAGCAGGGAAATGGGATCCCCCAGCCCTGGGGAGGTCACATCCTGCCCACACTGTCCCTGTCTGAGGGGCTGCGGGGAGCAGGGGGACCTTCACTCCCTCTCCTCCCCAGGCTGAGGAGATGATCAGTGAGATCCGGGCAGCCTTCGAGGTGTCCCTGGACCAGCTGGACTGGATGGACGAGAAGACAAGGCAGGCTGCGAAGGAGAAGGTGACCCTGGGGAGGGCAGTGGGTGGGAGACCTCCACACACCTCCCAGGAAGGCCCCCCACCCCATCTCACTGCCAGGGTCTCTCCCCATGCAGGCGGACGCCATCTATGACATGATCGGCTTCCCCGACTTCATCCTGGACAACAAGGAGCTGGATGATGTCTATGATGGGGTAACGGGGCACCTAGCTCACAGGGAGGGGGTCTGGTCCCTGCTCACACCAAGCCCTGTGAGGCCCCATGGTGGGGCAATGTCCCTATTTGGGGGACCTGTTTGGGATGGGACATTATGCAGAGCCACCCCCAGTACCACGTGCATCCCAGACCAGGCAGGAGGAACAGCTCCAGGTTGGACCCTTCCTCATCTTTCCTCTTCCTCACCAGTACGAGGTCTCAGAGGACTCCTTCTTCCAGAACATGCTCAACTTCTACAACTTCTCTGCCAAAGTGATGGCCGACCAGCTCCGGAAACCCCCCAACCGAGACCAGTAAGGGGGAGGGCCCAAGGGGGGGAGGGGATGGAGGACGTGACACCAGCATGGTGTCACAGCACTGTCCCCGGCACAGCCTGGGTAGCACCGGTTCACTGGGGAGGAGGTCCCCCCATAGGGTGGCACAGCTTTGTAGGTCGCCCATGGTGACTCTGGCTTGTCTCTGGGACAGGGTCCCTGCATCACGGGGTGGGGGACAGTGGTGCCAGCCCTAGCAGGGCAGCACAGGGGACCCACAGTGGGAGATGGCACAGGAGGGTGCCGGGGCAGGGGGAGAGAGGGGACACATCCCTGCCTGTCCCCTGTCCCACCTCCCTGCCCCAGGTGGAGCATGACCCCGCAGACTGTCAACGCCTACTACCTGCCCACCAAGAATGGGATCGTCTTCCCCGCCGGCATCCTGCAGGCTCCCTTCTACGCCCGAAACCACCCCAAGTGAGCCTGGCATGGGGGTGGGGGGCATCTCCTGGGGGTGGGAGGGCATGGGCTGGATCAGGGCCAGCACTCTACAGAGCCCCCCCAGCAGTCACAAAGCAAACCCCTGGGGGGCTTGAGGATCCCTCGAGGCTTTACATCCCACAGCCAAGACAGCCCGCAAAGTCCCCATGGGGCCACCAGTGTCCCCAACAGGACTCATTCCTAGATGGGTGCCAACTGGAGCAGAGTCTCGCTGGGTGCCCCGGACACAGATGGGGTGCCCAGGCTGCAGAGGGGGTGCCCGGGCTGGGGACAGGCTGTGACGGCATCACCCCAGCACTTACCTGGCTCTCTCCTGTGGCCCCACAGAGCCCTTAATTTTGGCGGCATTGGCGTGGTGATGGGGCATGAGCTGACCCATGCGTTTGATGACCAAGGT